AGCTGCAAAAAGACTCCTCTCATATTCATTTATTAAGAAGCAAACTTGTATAACCATGACTCCCTGTGCTTGACGTAACTTCCTGTAATCACGTGCTATTACGTCTTTGTTAATGTCATGAGGTTAAAGGAACCCTTTCTAGTGCCCTTTCAAATGATACTCCACTTTGGGGTAGGGGTCTCTACAAAAATGTTTACAAAGTGAGATTCGAATATAGTGCTCCCATCCCTTATGCATATGTGATCTTTATTCACCTACCGATATAACCGGAGGGGACTTTAGGTTTACCCTCCTTCCTGTCGTCCGTTCATTCGTCTGTCCGTCCGTTAGTCCGGCAAATACCCAATGTTCTATGAACTTCATTCCGTTCATAATCTTAGTTAGATAAGGAAATCCCATAATCGACTGGTTTATGTGCAATTTTAATGGTTTATATGGAAAAGTGCTTCATAAACATCAAAGAAAAAGCACATAAACCCTTAATGTTGGCACGTCTGTCTGTCAGTCCGGGCAAACACCAAATGGTCTATGAGCTTCATTCCGTCCATAATCTTAGTTTAAAAAAAGGAAAAAATCCTATAAACCGACTGGTTTATGTGGTTATTTGCCTGGTTTATGTGGGAAAAAGCCACATAACGATGAAAGAAAAAGCACGTTAACTCAAAAATGTTTGCACATTCGTACAAACTCAGAGGTACTTGTGTGACTAGGAGAGCAGTAGGTAACGGTACAGTTTCTTTGATCCGTTTCATTCCGTCTTTACATGTGTGTCTTTGTTAGGCCATGTGTACCTAAAAATGACTAAAAATATCAATTCACATAACTACCATTTCGTAAATAAGGGGACATCTCATTATGAGAAACCAGCTGAAGATGACAAAGATCCATGTGCGCTTGGTGCAACAGTTTTTAAAGCGCTGACTTACAAAGTCGAAACGTCATCTTGACGTCGTTACCGTGCGCCGGTACCATTGCACTTACCAATTCAAAAATGATTGCGATGAAAGACCAATTGGACATATCGTCCCAAATTTTACAGATACAATAAAAAATGCCGACATATAACTACTTTATGCATTTGATCTTATTATCTGAACAAATAAAATTAATACAAAAAATCAAATTATTTGATCAACTCTCGTAACTAGAAATAATTTTAAGAACTATAAAAACATAAGTTCAATTACGAACGCTTTACATACGGTGCAAAACAATGAAAAAGGATTATGCAACCATAACAGAAAACCCTATAATTTAGTGACATTGTACTTTTCACCGATTATTACAGTCTTTAGTGTCAATATTTGTAGGCATTTATTAAGTCCAAACACTCCTTTTAATTCTTTTTCGATATTTAGTAATGATGTCAAACGACAAACGTTTTTTACATTGTACTTTTCTATAAATGCTGACATGCATTAAATGTTGATTGCGATTTAATTTTAGCAATCATTGAATCTCAATTGCACTAAAAAGACATTATTAGTTTAAATTTGAACTATCTGTCTAAAAATCTTATAAGTGTGCATGTATAGGTAGTCTCATATAGGAGTCAATATTGCACCTATAATGCAGAAATAAATTTTCAATAAAATTAGATAAGTGAGATGAAACGGTATTTCATTTACAAATACAAATTTATCAAACATGCCCAATAAATGTAATGGGTGCTTAAATAGTGAATGTCGCTGATTTTTATTCTTTTCGTTCATTACAATTTAATGTACAACTTATGTCTATACCTTAACGTCGATAACAACTTTTGGCTTCGTCTTATTTATTTGATATAACGTTGTACATATAATTTTGGGATATATTTGCTCTTTATTAAACTTTGTTGGCACGTAAATATCGATGGTCTGATGAACTAATCTAGAAAATTCAGAAAGACTATTGTCATGAACAATGTGGTCATTAACGGTTATCTGAGCGCAGACACATTACTATATAATATATAAGAAAATATATAAAACATAATACCAATACGTTCAAAAAGCATTTACCGAATTTGCATTTTGTGTTAATATAGGGAGGTTATTAGAAATATATTTTCGATAAAGTCTTAAGTCTAAAGTTTTCAATAAGAAATGAATCCATAGATTTTAATTATCACATATAATGCATATTAACATTTGCAGTAGATATTTAACATATTATTGGATGTTATGAAATTGTTTCATAAGAATAATTATATACATATATACATTTTTACTTAAGTGGTGTTACAGCCTTAAGTACAAGAATCATGCCTAAATGTTATCGTAATAGATTGGTAATTAATTATCTACACAGTTGAAATATGATCAAATGTTGCTAATGGCATATATTGAATCATTTTTAGTCATAGATCCGTGACATTAATCGCTTATTGGGGCCATTTTTTCTGGGACAATGTTTACCGGTGCTCTGAGATCGGTCATGAAAAGGTGAAAAACTTGACTTTATCCTGTGAAATTTTCATGTTTCTACAAATGTGTTCTTTTAGCTAAATTAAGATATATACGTGCGATAGAGGTCATAAAGGAGGTTTAGAAAAATTAAACAAAACTGAACTATTATGTATCTCTAAGTTCACTGGTACTTATTTTTGGTGTTTTGTGAGTTGATTCTTTCTTGCGGCCCTTTCCTTTTCAACATATGTAATATTGTAGTTGCAGAAAAATATTCACACACTTGTTCATTCCTGGGAATGTTGAAAGAAGAATATTAATATATATAGAGGATATTTGTTTAGTTCAGTGTAAGATCGGAATATATTTCACCGAGTGAGCACCAAAAGGTATATTTCACGAGTGGCGCAGCCACGAGTTAAATATGAACTTTTGGTGTTCACAATGACCAATGACCAATGATCCAGGTTTTGTTGGCAACTATAATAGGACGCTTTTGAAATAAAAAAATAAATATATTTCCGTGGCATAATGGGCCTTTAAGCTAGATACTATCCTTATTGTATAAACTTTTAAACAAATGACTGTCTTAAACCGACCTGATTATTTTCAGATATTATCACTTTTCAATAACTTTGTCTTTTGGTATCGTCCTTGTCCCGGTCTTGATCTTTTATTATGCTTGTTTCTTTTTTGTTCTTTTCTATCCTGCCGTGTCTTTTGTTGGTGTTCTGTTGTTGTTCTATTGTTCTTCTGTTATTGACTATTTTGCTCTTTTCCTGGACATGTTCTGCATAATATATTATAAATTTGTTTCTGGTTTTTTTTTTTTTTGCTATTTTTTCTTGATCTGGTCATTTTTTTGTTGTTTTTGTAGTTGTTGTTGTCGCTGCTGCTGTTGTTGTTATTTTCATTGTTGTTGCTCTAATGCCTGCTTTTTATCGTTTTTCTGTTTTCGTTCTGATTTAATTTTTCTTCTTGACTTTTACTTTTTTTATATTTCTAACTATTCTGGTCGTTTTCTGTAATTTTCTTTTATTCGGAGCTGTTGTATATATTGCTCTATACTCACGATGAACTTATTCCAACATTTTCGTAGATTGCAAATGATATAAATTTATAGTCTAGAAAAGTCGTTTACATAATTATACTAAAAAAAGTCAAATTATTTATTAGCCACACATAATTGGCGATTAGATTCACAATACCAATATAATACTGAAAATTATGAAAATACATAATTCAAGTGTTATTTTCATATTTTAACAAAAAATGACATATTTAAGTGCATATGAACACACACCATACAAGTCACGTCACATTTAACATATTAACACAATTCATCAAAATATAACGAATAATATAAAGAAATGGAGATAGTCTTTCATGAAACGTTACATGATGTTTGTGCTAATTCTTTAATTGGTTTCTTCATAAACTTACAAAAGCATAAAATACGACATGAAAAAATATTCTTTATTACTATTATTATTATTATCAATTAGTTTTATGCTTATAAATTAGTTCATTATAAGTGTACTCGTTTTTTACAATATAGTAATAAAGAATCAGGTCCAGTAGGACTCTATGAGGTTAGTAAATAAAGTTATTCTTACATTACAATTATCATATTGATACCTTCATAGTTTATGTAGGTTCTTTTTGTCAGACTTTATTATTTGTATTCATTTGAATAACCCTTATATTTCGTAACACAAAAACAGTCAATTCTATAAACTAAAAGTAATAGGTAGCCATTATTCGATATTAAAAGAGGGGCATGTCCTTTATTAGTAAATATAAACGAGTTTTAATAATGGTCCAAAATCATTATAGGAAAACATTTTCATTTTTAATTTGAATTTTTAAAGAAAAAGTATATTTTTGGCATGAAAGCCAGACCTGAAGGATCAAATATTTACTGATATTGTTGATAGACAGCATAATCGTGATCATGGTTCCGGATAAGAAGTGTAACATTTAAGTAAGGACTGCATAATTCTTTAGAAATATAGGAAGCTGGTCAGATATGAGTAAGTAGAGCTTTGTCTTCCTTGTGCCTTGAGTATATCTTGTTATAGGCTTCTGATATTTTGAAAATGCCAAATATAGAAGTTTTTCATTTATGCATGCATATCAAAAGATAGCCAGACGTTCGGGACACCTTTTTTGCATTTTTGTAGGCTATATAGCATGTTATGCTAGAAGGTTAATGTACATTTTTCATACATTAACATCTGCATAATTTCAAGGACGCATTTAAAGTAAGAGCCATCATGACGAGGGATTTAATAAAATGTGAGGGCTTTAGCAAAACGGATTGATAAATGAAATACATGCATCATTACCAAGATATAAAGGTGGTTATGTGGTAAACGTTTTCTTATAACGTTAACCTCTAAAATTCACTTCTAAAGAGAAAATAACATGTTAGCATTATAAATAAATACTTGCGTGTTTTGGTATCAGTTGTAAAACATCAATTTTAAATTCGAAGGTTTAAAGTTTTGTTGTCAATAAACGTTCAGTTGTTTTACTATTTTATTTTCTAAAGCGCACAAAACTTTTCATTTCAGTGGATACTCCGGACACATATGTTAAGCTTAATGTCAGAAGAGCTCCAAATCCTAGGAGACAAACCAAATCCTGCGACAATGAAAACGAACCGATCTGAAACGAGACTTTCAGGTTCTTCCTCAAATACGTTGACGGAAACAATATGGGTAAACATTTGAGAGCAGTTGAAAAAAAAAGAATAACCCTCGTTCAATACTTGAAATATAATGGCATGATTATTAATTGTTATATGTTATACTGTGACAAAATTCTTATTTAACCCATTTCGTCATAATATAGACGTCTTTTCACGGCTGTTCACCCCCTCCCCTTTTGAGGCCTTGAATAGTATAAAAAGACCCTATTTTGACCCAACCACTTGTTTTTGTTTGTAAAATGTTGTTAAAAAAGTGATCACCTTTTCGACGCCATCCCCTTTTAAAAAGAGCAAAAAGATTTTGGACTTGTGAAATAGTCAAATTTGCTTCAGGTCGATCAGAAGGTGACGTGTTATCAACGCTGTAAAGCCTTTGACTCTATCTTATTTCATATAGAAGGGACAACATCAACGCAAAAAGTGATTTTTGGCAATTTTTTGATGTCTCTTCGTTGCCATTGTAACAGAAAATTCGGATTTAGCATGCCGTTACAAAGGCTATGGTACAGTCAACATGTGTTCCAATTTTAATGAATTTTGAAGCATCTTTTATAGTTCATAGCAATTTGAACTTGTTACAAGAGGCTTTTCAATGAAAACTGCCAATTTTCACAAAATGCCCATGCAGAAATGGGTTATTATTATCTTATTGTTTAATGTTATACGGTGACAAAATTCTTACCTTATTTAATATATCCATTCCTTATTTTATAGTATCTTATTGTTATATGTTAAACAGCCGCTAAATTCTTACCTTATTTGATATTATCTTATTGTTATGTGTTATACGGCTGCAAAATTCTTACCTTATTTGATATTAACTTACTGTATTATGTTATACGGTGACACAATTCTTATCTTATTTGATATTATCTTATTTTATATGTTATACGGTGACAATTTCTTACCTTATTTGATATATTCTTATTGTTACATTATTTATTCTTTATTATATTATCAATATAAGATATTATTTCATCTTTTATTTTATTACAGTCTCATCTTATATGACATAATCTTATGACATGTTATCTTATATATCATTATCTTCATATGTATTATCATGCTATCTCATCATATATTTTTATCTCATGGGTTTTTTTTCATATTTTTTTATATCATATTATCTTATCTTATATTGACAGCGAGGACCTTAATCGTAACATTGATTAACATGTGTAATTTTATATTGTAAATCATTCCCTTTTCGCACATTGCTTTATTTTTAGATTTTAATTTTGCATTTCTATCTATAATTGCATGTTTAACGTTGTGAATTTACTTTAATAAGAATCAGATAAACATGTTTCTTATCTATTTTATTATACGTTTTTGGAATATCATTTTCAGAAGTATCCTTAATGGATTCAGATTACATATCTGATGATACTCTCTCCACTCAGACGATAAAGATACCTAATTTAAATGATTTGATGGAACGCAGACAAGAGATGACCATTAACTTCAATGAGGTAATATTTAATTATCATGGTATCTGTCCACACCGATTTATATACAATGTAGTGAGCTAAATCCTTTCTATATACATACATGTACAAACATATACATACGTCATAAAACATGAGCAAATATTATATACAGGTATTATATTAAACTAATGATTCATCATCATATCATGTAGATAATGTCAATAATATTAAATGTCATATTGTATTATGTTTCATAATGTTTTCAGAGTTTGAAAATTGACATAGAGATGTGGGCAGAATCTGACAAGTGACTGATTTTATTTATCTACTTCATTTTCTTAATTCATTTCTTTTTTAATTTCTTTTTTATGATTTGATTGATTGATCGATTGGTTAATATTTATTGATTGATTGACCGATCGATTTACCGATTGATTGATTTATTGGTCGATTGATATCTTTATGGTTTGATTGATTTATGGGTTGATTGATTTATTGAATGATTTATTGGATTTGATTGATTGATTGATTGATTGATTGATTGATTGATTTTTGTGAGTTGTTTCTTTTTTATATTATTAGTTTTATGATCATAATACATTTACAGCGCATCTAGATAAATTTCTGTGTAAAAACTTAGACATGCTTATGTTTAACAGATATCTAAAAACAGCTCTAAGAATAGCATTTGAAACGTGTAAATTCTAGTGAAACGCTTTTTTACTTCTTTATTAAGAGGAACAATGTTTTTGTTTTTAAAAAAGCTCGGACCTTGCAATATACTGTGGACAAGAACTGTGCAAAGAAGAAAAGACCTTTCTTGAAAAAAGGAAAGAAAGAGCTTATCGAGTGATGCAAGAACTGTTAGGAAAAGACGCTCCAAAAACACCAAACGAGGTAATAAAGTCATGATTTTACGCGGCTTTTGTTAGGATTTTCTTTTTCAGAAGTCAATCAAAGGTATTGCCTAAATGCATGATGTTTTCAATTTGATTTCAATTTGATAAAGCCGGCGTGAAATACGCGAAGATCCGGGCCGTTAAATGGTTTATCAAAGCTATTCTCATAAACATATATGACATATCTAGGCAAACTTGTTGCACATGTCAGTCGAATTATTATTGTATGTTTACACTAACAGGTTCCAACAATAGCTGTAATGGGATCTGGTGGTGGTTTCCGTGCAATGACAGCCTATTCTGGAGCAATGGGTGCCCTGGTGGACTCTAAAATTGCAGATATGGTTATGTATAACTTGGGTCTCTCTGGCTCAGCTTGGTAAAGGCATTATTTTCATTAAGATATTATTTTAGAGATTACTGTATTTGATTGTTGTTGTCTTCATATAAAGCGTACAAAGATGATTAATAACATAAGTGTAGAATGTATAAATGTGTATTTGAGTTTATTTATATTCCCCACCGGTTACCCATGTGGGCAAGTTTTCCAGAAGAGTATTAGTCATTTTAGATTTTTAAAAGATAGTGCAAGATCAGACACAGAAAAATACCCCAATGCCAGAAGCTTCTCCTGGTTCTTAATCGTGCCAAGTGTTTAAGCACTCATACACGGGACCTCGAGTTAAAGTCTCGTCCGAAAGACTGAATTGTTATTTTAGTTGGCCAGCCAGGAACTCGAACCCACAATGTCAAGATTACAAGTATTGCGCTCTAAACGATTGAGCAATGCGAAGTGTTAATGTAATCAAACAACCATTCAATAAACTATAGTTAATAACATGACAGTATTCTGTATACATTTTGTTTGTTTGTTTGTTTTTTTAATACTCCTTAAGTAATAACCTTTTAAATTCTACATGCACTTATGAAACATCAATATTGTATGGTGGCAGATTTACACCATGTCGTATTTTCGCTTCTTTGTCTCAAAATTCAAAAATGCGAAAAAACGAAGAAATGACAAAGTTGGACTGTTTTGTCTCTTCATGTTTTCGCTTCTTTCGGATTTTTTGAGGCAAAACTATGACAGAAAGACGGCGAGAATACGACACATAAAATCTGTCGTATATTCGTATTTCATCTGTCGTATTTTTTTGCCATGGCGAAAATCAGCCACCATTATATTAACTTATTTATTTGAAAAAGCGCTAAGACATGCGAGGATTCAGAGGGGGTTATGTGGTTATGCACCCTCACTCCCCCCCCCCCCCCCTGACACACAAACACCTTCCCGTACATGTATGTAAAGTCCCTTTGATATTCGTAATATAGATACGTTTAAGGGAAAATCAGGCAAAATAAAACAACTGAAATAATCAAAACTTTGACTCATGCAAACCTCCGGGGCATTCTAATAAAACGTCATAACCCCTTTGGAATAAGCTTGTCGCAGTTATTTAGTTTCCTTATTACGCTGTATTTATATATATCGTATATGCGTCGTTTTGTAAATCAGGTACCTTTCGACTCTCTACTCCAATCCTGAGTTTCCTAGAAAATCTCCACGTGAGCTTCGCAAAGAGCTAGGTGAAAGTATTGAATCCAGTCCGAGGTGGATCGTGTTTAATCATAGGAATTGGATAAAGTGTATATCAGATGTGAGATCGGCAAAGGCAAGTGGGCAACCTTTCAGCTTCACGGATGTCTACGGTCATATGGTCGGCGAAACACTTCTCAAAGGAGTATGAATTATACATATTATTATTAATATCTTAAATGTGGATTGCTATGTGTTTTATGAACGGCTTGTTAAAATGAAGTGATTGGCTGTTAGTTAAATTTGACTATTTTAGGAACGTATAAAAATAGTGTTTACGTTCGGAATATCTTTGTTGTATAACTTTGCTACAAGAAAATTGTGATTTTAATGCCTTGATAAAATTTTAATGCTTATATTTTTATGCTCCCCGACAAATTTCGGGGGAGCACATAGTCGTCGGGTTGTCCGTCCGTCCGTCAGTCCGTACGTACGTACGTCGCGAATTCGTGTCCGGCCCATAACTTTGTTATTTGAAGTCGGATTTTAAAACTATTTCACAAAAATAATCACCGTATTGAGACGACGTGTCGCGCACAAGATTTAAGTCGCTGCCTTGAAGGTCAAGGTCACAGTATGACCTTGCAGCAAAATCGTGTCCGGCCCATAACTTCGTTATTTGAAGTCCGGATTTTAAAACTATTTCACAGAAATGATCACCATATTGAGACGACGTGTCGCATGCAACATTTGGGTCGCTACCTTAAAGGTCAAGGTCAAAGCTTGACCTTGCAGCAAAATCGTGTCCGGCCAATAACTTCGTTATTTGAAGTCAGATTTTAAAACTATTTCACAGAAATGATCACCATATTGAGACGACGTGTCGCGCGCAACTTTTGGGTCGCTACCTTGAAGGTCAAGGTCACAGCATGACCTTGCAGCAAAATCGTGTCCGGCCCATAACTTCGTTAATTGAATTCTGATTTCGCAACTATTTCACAGAGATGATCATTATATTGAATCGATGTGTCACATGTAACATTTGGGTCGCTACCTTTCTGTGTCCAAAACCTATTCGGGGAGCATCATCCGGTTCAACCGGCTCTTGAATGATTTATATTTTATGTACTGTTATATTTGAAAATGCAGAAATGCAGAAATTATTTTATTGTTTTGCAAAATGAAATAAAAATGTTATTAATAAATAAATATTCAATATACGTATATCATTTTAGACGTTTTAGAAGTATTGTTATCAGCTATGCATACAAAAGTATATATTTTTTTATTTTGGCTAGAGAATAAATTCAAAACTGACGGATCAGCGAGAAATGTTAAAGGAGGGATTGGTTCCTTTACCTTTGTACGCAGGTGTTCACGTAAAACCTACGACATCGGCTAAAGTCTTTCACGGTTTGTGCCTAATTTCAGACTATTATTATATACATATTTTTTGCCTATTCGTTGTTCATCAGAAGAAAAAAACCAACTGACTTCAGAGAAATGTATAATCTAGTTTATAAAAATTTGTAGCTTTACTAAAAAGACTTCTCACTTGTATAAGATGATAATACGATGTATTGATGTACATATTCGAGGCTTAATTAGGGACCATCCGCACTTTCAGGCACTGAAGGTACGGACCCCGGACATGTCTCCAGACATTCCTTAAAGGTTAATTTCTAACAGAAGGTGACCTATAAATTTTGAACTTAGTAATTCAATGTATGATACTAAATATGTATGCTAGTAGTTTCTATTTTTGTGCACGAGAGGCCAATGTTACCATTATATGCATAAATAAGTGTTGCTGCCAAATTGAATAATCATATCTGTCGGACGAGCTTGACTGTCTCGTAGGATTCTGCAGCTCTTATTGGTACCTGTCACATGCATTCCGTATTCATGGCCGACATGCAAGAACATGTTTGCCAGATATCAAAACGAATTTTAAATGAAACTTTAGCCAAAACAAGAGGGCCATGATGGCCCTGGGGTCGCTCAAATGTACTCAGGGCGGGGCCAGTTTAAACCAAAGGGCTTTTATTTGAACAAACTTGGAAGACACCCATTAGAAGATGTTTCATGATGTTAAGCTTTTACTATACACAAATAATGAAAAACAATGACTTTTGCTCCCCCCTCCCCCCTCCCCCTGGCAGGGCCAATTTTAACCCAAGGGCTTTTATTTGAACAAACTTGGTAGACACCCATTAGAACATGTTTCATGCTTAATATCTTAGCTCTAGCTTTTTGGGTTCTTTAAAAGAAGATTTTTAAGTTTTTAATTACTATATGCAATATAGGGAAAATCAATGACCCCCTTCGGCGGGGCCAATTTCGACCCAAGGGCTTTTATTTGAACAAACTTGGTAAACATCCATTAGAGCATGTTTCATGCTAAATATCTTAGCTCTAGCTCTTTGGTTCCTTAAATAGAAGATTTTTAAGTTTTTAATCTACGTATATAGGGAAAATCAATGACCCCTGGGGCGAGGCCAATTTTGACCCCAGGGCTTTTTTTTTTAACAAATTTGGTAGACACCCATTAGAAGATGTGTCATGCTAAATATCTTAGCTCTAGCTCTTTGGGTTCTTTAAAAGAAGATTTTTAAGTTTTTACTACATGTATATAGGGAAAATTAATGACCCCTGGGGCTGGGCCAATTTTGACCCAGGGCTTTAATTTAAACAAACTTGGCAGACACTCATTAGAAGATTTGTTTCATGCTCAATATCTTAGCCCTAGCTCATTGGGTTCTTTAAAAGAAGATTTTTTTAAGTTTTTAGTATATGTATGCATATAGGGAAAATCAAAGACCCCCTTGGGCGGGGTCAATTTTGACCCCAGGGCTTTTATTTGAGCAATCTTGGTAGACACTGATTAAAAGATGTTTCATGCTTAATATCTTAGGTCTAGCTCTTTGGGTTCTTTAAAAGAAGATTTTTTGAAGTTTTTAGTATATGCATATAGGGAAAATCAATGACCCCCTGGGGCGGGGCCAATTTTGACCCCAGGGCTTTTATTTGAATAATATTGTTAGACACCCATTAGAAGATGTTTCATGCAAAATATCTAAGCTCTAGCTCTTTGGTTTTTTTAGAAGAAGATGTTTAAAGTTTTTTCTTTTGGTTGCCATGGCAACCAGAGTTCTGCATGGAATGGAATTCTTTGACCAACTTGAACAACTTTGTTAAGGCTTCACACAAGGAACATCCCTGTGAAGTTTCATTATGATCTGCCTTATGGTTTCAGAGGAGATGTCGTTTGAAAAGTGTGAACGGACAACGGACGACGTACGACGGACGACGTACGACTGACGACGGACGAAGAGTGATCCTAATAGCTCACCCTGAGCATATGCTCAGTTAAGCAAAAAGGGTTGTTTTTTTCAGTTTTGTTTAATAATGAGAATACCCCAGATCGATGAGCTTTAAATTACATAGACAATTAATATCACTTACCTTTTAAGTATATGTAGGCTAGAATTATTATCCTCGATCTGTCAAATTGGTTGGATTATTGTTAATACGAACGTGGGCATCGATTTTAATCCATGCATTTATTATTTGGATATTGCTCTCATTATATTTGCACACAAAACTTTAGCCGAAACTTAAAAGAAAATGTTGGCTACTGCGCTACAGACGACGGGATATGTTTATCTTTAATAAATTATTTTAGTATTTTATCATTGTTTTTATCATTGTTTGTTACTTGAAGACGTTATCAAGAAATGATATATTTTCAGAGTGGGTAGAGTTCAGTCCATACCTCATAGGCATGTCAAAGTATGGCACATTTATGCGAACAGAATTATTTGGAAGCAAATTCTTCGAAGGAAGGCTAATAACAAAATACGACGAGTCACCACTGCATTTTTTCCAAGGTGAAATATAAGAATATTCATAGTTTTTGAATACAATTTTGATTCAAAATCTTAACAATTAGTGCTATTTAATCTACATATTATTAGTACGATACTAATAAAAGATTGAAATTGACAGTTATTTGATGAGTTAGTGTAATATGTCCATAACATCAGAATTACAACAACAGTGTTCAGGAATTGAATGTAAATATTAAATAAAATATAATATCGTCCAAAATTTATATGAACAATTAATATCAATTAAGTGTGATTAACATCATAATTTTTATGATGCTAAGATTAAATTAAAATGTCAAAATCCACTTTTTTCAGTTCCAACATAAAGAAAATATACATTACATGCATCGACATATATAGACCCTGGGCTAGCATAACCCCCCTTACCCCACCCCCTGGGTATTTTTGTACACCTATATAGTATTAAAGCTTAGGGTATGTGCTATCGATTGGCTTATGTTGTTTAGCTGAAACGTTTACCATGAATCTAATAGAACAAGTTGATTATCTCCCCTTGATTCACTTTTTTCTATATAAGATTTCTTCAGATATCTTCTTTATGATCTAAACATTGTTTTGAGTTGTAAATATATGTTTTTATAATTTATACAAATATTTTTAAGTTTTAACATAAAAAATCACATAATTAATGGTGTCCGCCATTTCAAAATGGCCGCCAGTTACTGAACAGATAAAAAATTCATAACAATATTTAATGTGTTTATACCCATTTATAAATAGTTTGTTTGATGTAATTATTAATTATATATGATATGCTTAGTTAAACTAACTCTATGCTAGATAGAATTCAAAATAGTCTGCGCTTGAATATTATTTCAATTTTACAGAGATATGAACCATAATTGTTCTGGGTCGATTTGAGCTGCCTTGAGAGTTCGATAAGAATTTAATGCAAATATTGACTTTTTGTCCTCTCTAGAAACTTAATATACTCTCACTTATATGAGAAACAATTTGAATTCCGTTCCTGCTTCTGTATATCCATATGACTATATTGTATTGTACAGCTTACTGCACCACAATGACTCTTTGACAGAAAGTCTGCTCGTTGAGTTCCACCAAAAAAAACTGCTCTTACTCTTATTTTATTGAAAATGACTTAAGCCTTTAGTTGGTAGTTTTTCATTTTCATAAGAATAATAATTGAGATAAATGTTTTACATTTCATTATCCTTGTTACTCCCCTTTAAAAAAACATTATAAAGTTTCTTCCGCCATTAGAAAAAAGGCAGCCACAATTATAGTATGCTTCTCCCTTAAAATCAATTGTTTAAGAGTGATTGTGTTGATTAAAATTTTATTGAAATGCAACACAGCATATGACAGCATAAGACACTGATGAATCATTTCGAACATTGTAAGTCATACTCTCAAATTTTGGAGTTGGAAACTGTGTAACAGTACTCTTGATCAGAACATTGTTCTCCCTGATGCAATTTCTGCAAAAAGCAATTTGATAACATATTTGTGCTGGGACCATTTCCATCTACATAACAACCCAAACTGCACATGGAATTGTCATTCAAAAAAGAGATGATGATGATGCCACTAAAAGAGAACAAACATCCACTAATATATCAAATAAACAGGCGACAAAGGCACGCACCGTTAAATACAATCCTGAAGAATTGACTGAATGCTTAAATACTGGGAAATAAGAACCGTTTATCAATACTTATAAGTTTCGACAAAGGAAATGTCTTGGGTTTTGCTGTGTTATCTGACTTTCTGTTGTTCATGTGTCGGCGACTGCTAGAACATGACAAGCAGATTGTTCCAAGTTGGACTAAGGCTGGATCACTCTAACCTCTGAGATACAAGATCCAAACATCCGCTACAGAAGAGTACATGCCTCCTACTAATGCCCAAAGTACAAAAAATGCTACTGTTTAGAAAATTCTAGACATTTCAAGTGTTTTAAGAGCTGTAAACCAAAAGTATATATTTGATACCTTTAATTTGGTGCTAAAAGGCATATTCTATCGTATGGAAAATCCGACTAAGTACAGTGATACAATCATAGGGGCTTTTCGTTTGCTAGGTTCATACCTAGGGGCAATTGGAAAACAGCTTCATGGAAGTGGTTTCTCAGAAATCCTGATAGAGTAAAGTGAATGTGTTATTGTGTTAACAGTTGAAGCTCTCGAAAGACTGCTTTTTGAAGAGTTTGTAGCAGCAGTTATGCAAATCCACAACCCTAGTGCATTCGAAGATATCAACCAAGCGGTAGATGTGCTAGCTGAGAATCAAAGACGTGAACACCTTGAAGATGTGTTAGCTAATGATTCTGTCATTAAACTTTACAAGAGGTATCAAGAGTTCAAGTAAGATGTCAGAAAAGGTCACTTAGGGAAGACGGCACAGTTTTGAATGGATGTATTGTTCAGATTTGGCTGGTTCTTCGTTTTATGAGAGCCACAAAGGAAAATGGTCTTGACCTATACATACCAACATTATAAAATATACTACAATTATTTTTTGCATATGATCATCAAAACTATGCAAAATATCTATCTGTATATGTTCTTATGTTGATAAATTGATTCAACACACCTAGGATCAAGAAAGCTTCTTCAAAATAACGGATTTAGTGTAAGCAGATCCAAATGCCTGGCTCCCCTAATGCTGCTAATATAACTATTGAGCAAATAATAAATAGACATGCAAAGTCTCGTAGAGGCATAATAGCATTCAGCAGAAACTTTGCTGCCTACTACAGATGTATTCAAACAAGACACTCGAGAGCCAGCTATATTGAGGCTACATTTTGCATAACATCATTGTATTCTTCTACACACATTGATATACAACCAGCAAATATAGCTGCATTAGAAATAAAATGTCATGAAACTCAAAGAATCAATAACTAACTTTATGAATCCATTTGCAACAGATAATAGGGATGTGTTGTTCTGTTTAAGTTCATGGGCTCATGCTACAGAGAAGATCGAAAAGAATCTGTTTGATGCCGACCGAAATGGACTTAAAGCACACAAAAGCTCGCCCAACAACGTCTGGTTGATAAACTCGTTATTTTTATGCTCCACTGAAGAAGCAAAACATAAAAACTTTTTTCCGATACAAAGAAAGTTAAGACAGTGACATAATCTTAGAATAATCTTGTCGAAGTTATTGCCGCTGGCGAAGCCTTCGGTCAGCTTATCATGTTATCAGGAAAAAATGACATTATCCTTGAAAAGACACTAGCATTACCGCTTGGACTAGACCCTTGGTCTCTAGCTACAGCAGATGGCTTACCAACAAAGACTGACACGGCAAAACTAATGCATGACCTCTAAGGCAATTATACAATGAACAGAGGCCAGGTAACAAAAAGATAATATACATATATCTTCAAGCATTTTCTTGTCTCCCTTCAACTCTTTAAGACGCGCTAAAATGATTTTGAGATTTTACCAAAATGTGAGCGTGCAGACTTTGTGACAGATACGTACAAAGCAGAATTTATCAAATCTGCAGAAAGGTCACGAAGAGGAATGAGTGATAAATACCTGATAAAAAACAACAAAACCAAACTTTTGCAAGACTGGAAAGTTTTTTTTTGTATTAATAATAAAAATAAGAAACATTTGATAAGATTGATATAAGAGGAATTGTTTCAAAATAAATATGCAGGGGAATTGGACGGAAGGAGAATCTTGTGCTTGTGAATAGTTATGTGTATGCCTCCAAAGTAAAGATGGAAAAGAAGAAGTAATACAGATTCCAGATCTACATAGGTCTCAGAAGGAAGCCGATTTTTAAATATGCAACATGCGGCTGAAAATGATGACAAAGCAATAATTGTACGATCTCCAGATACTTATGTTATGGTATTACTTCTAACGTAAGCACAGTCTATCAACAGATTAATACTATTTGACTCTGGTGTGGCTAATAATAAAAGACTGTTGAAAGTAAATGAAATCAATGATAGACTAGGAGAAGATCTTTGCAAAGCATTGATTAGGCTTCATAGTTTCACCGGATGTGATACCGCGAGCCCTTTTTCATGAGGAGAGGGAAAATTAAAGCTGTAAACATTTCTTTTAAAAATATCCTGAATATATACCTAAAACCAGTTTTCACAGAATGGTGTTGATATTCAAGAAAAAGACTTTAAAATTCTAGCACAATTTGTTTGTATTTGATACAGGAAAGACAAATAAAATGACATAAATAAGTTGCGCATTGACATTTTCAGACAAGACAAAAATTTAGACCAATTGCAGACATACTCAAATTACCTATGGTATTGACTTGCGTTTAATACCACAATATCTTTCCACATTAAAGATGCATATTTTTAGATCAAATTACCAAGTATTTTTGTGGTGAAAAGCCTTTTGTCAATTCCCAACTATTCCAAGTCCTGATGGATATTGGTAGAATACTGGTACAACCGGAGGTCTCACATATACATAGTTCCTGGGCAGAGGGAAATATACTACCACAAGAATAAATTGAAATCATAGCTAATAAAAATGCTAGTGAAGTGTTAGAAGATGATTAAATTGAAGAAGGTGATCTTGAGGAAATTGAGATGGAAATTTATATTGATGTCATTTTCGTAGAAGATTTCGAGTAATAATTAATATGTGACTAAAAAGCTGTATTGTAAAACATTGGAAAAGAGGGGTAATTTATATTCTTTAAAAGCATTATAATTAAAAAAATTGAACAACAAAAGTCTTTTTAACTTCTATAATATTTATACAAACAACTTTATATAATTAAATGATGTTTTGCTTTTTTAAAACAAAACCACAAAGTTTATAATAAAATGTTAATTAATTATCAGGAAAATGGCGGTCATTTTGAATTTTGTGGCCATTTTGAAAAGTAACAACATCAATTAATTATGAAGTAAATCATTTTAGAGACCTTGTCTATGATCTAAAACAAAAACCGACCACATAACAATTCATTTGGTTGAAAAGTTAATGGTTATTTCAATTAGGCTGTTTATTAAGAAATTGTGACAGGGGCAGATAATTCACATTGGCTTGTGTCTTAATGGTAAATGTTTCAGTCAGACAACAAGTTGCAAATGTCTTCCTATATGTTTATATTTAAAACTACATGGGTCCCATAAAATACCCAGAGGGGGTAACCTTTTCAATTTCCAGCTCATGCTCTAATATAGCAACTCATATAGATGTAACCTATAAGTATCTACAGAAGCTAAAAATAATTGTAGCATATGTCGATTTAAAGTAAACCGATTAGAAAAATTCATTAATTAACATAAAAGAGTTGTCTCCTTGTTAAGTATGTTACACTTTGTACACTATATAGTTTTCATCATGGTAGCTAAATATTACCAGACCAGATCATGTAAATCATACAATCATTTAAACAGCTATGAAGAACGTGAGTGAAAGACACACATAAATCAATATTTTCAGTACTCTACGATCTTACGAATAAGTTGCTTGTTATTATGATTCACCTTTGCAGGCCTTTGGGGAAGTGCATATTGTATTTTGCTCAATCGTTTTGTTGGCGTAAGCCCAGAGAAGACGGAAAATGAAGACGAGGAACGAGAAGAACTTGGTATTTTTATTTCATTTTCGGTTTTACGTTGGTTGTACAATTTTATTCATATTAATAAGGTTTAAATTGTCAATTGGAAAGTATCTTATGTCTCATAATTTAATTTCTTCTATAATTCATTACTATCACTGCACCATACTTTTAGCATCATCTTTCATTTATAGATTACTTTGTACTTTGTAGCAAGTTTGCAACTCTTGTATATATTTTATTATTTTAGTTTGTAGATTTCTCAAAACTGTTTCTATAAGTGCAGCCCATTTATAGATTACTTTGAAGCAAGTTTGCATCTCTTGCATATATTTTATTTTGTTGATTTCTTAAAACCTTTTCTATAAGCACTGTGTGTTATTGTTGTTTTAAGAACATCTCAAAACATATCCTTTTTTCTCGATGAAGGCTCTTTTTGCGAAGTTTACTACGAAGTTGGATTCGTGTGGCATCTCAAGAGTGACCATAACACCCAGAAAATTTATTTGTTTGCACCCAACAGTGTGCTTTTAGCGTCTTATATATATTTTGGTTGAACAGTCAAAAGTAAACATCTTTTTTCAGCGAAAGAGGGGGAATAATTAAATGGATAAGTCAAAAAGAAACAATGAGACGATTAAATCATACAACAAAGGGTTATTTAACTAATTTAATCTGTGAAACATGGCTGGGAGATGTATGATATCATTGTAAATGCGCATGGTTATGAAACCATGTGATGAATACTCAGAATAGGATGAGATCTCACAGATCATAACCGTATAAATGGGTTTGTGTTTTGATTCCTTATGAAATTATGAAACACAGCTAATTGTATGTTTATGACTGGTAGATATCATCATTTGCTTTAAAAATAAAAAGGAAGTAACTTCTCAAGTACGCACACAACTTGCAAAGTAAGGACAGTTGAGTTATTTTTGTTCTTGGTTCAATTTTGTTACAATTAGAATTAGTGTAATTTTTTGACATTTTTGATGATTACATTATTTGTTTGGGGTAATAAAATAAATAACAAATTAGCATGTTGGCAAAAGTAAAAATATCATCTCGAGGAAAATACTGTTTCCCGAGGCTTTACACGAGGGATGTATTTTTACTGTTGATGTTGTTGTTTCAGTTTCTGTGTTGCTTATTATGTATAATATAATGAAATCGAGCAAATTTCTTTTTCATTGTACAGATAAAGAAGTGGATGAAGAATTAGCAACACTTGCCGAAAATGATGATGAAAGTAGCGATGATGAAGATTGCGGCAACGCCATAGATGAAAAGAAAGTTGAGAAAAACAAGAAAAAGCAAAAAAGTATTTTTAAAAGATTTTATGACTTGTTAGGTATTGATTTGCTCGTAAACAATATCCAAGGAAGGGCAGCGGTCGTGTTTAACTACATGCATGGTTTAGTACTACAGGAATACCATCCGACAAAAACGTTACGTAAGTAGAAATATATTTGGTTATGGCTAAATACAGTACACTTTGTTTCATTTGAAATATTGTATAATTAATGGTTTTTTTATGATTTATGAATGAATAAATCAACGATGATCATTCTATCTGTAAAGTGTAAAATACCATTATATCTTACGTTGCTAGTTTTAAACATAGATGCAATAATATCATAAATCATATATATAAATATTTATATAAAGACATAACAAACAGTTATAAAACCGTGTTTAATGTGCCCAGCACACTGAACATAGCCAAGTACTAGATACTTAAATGTATTTATTACCAATAAAAAAAGTTTAAAAAGAACATTTGATTTAGTATAAAAACGGATAGTAATATGTGCTTAAGTTGATTATCAAAAAAAAATACCAAAGATTTGCGCTATTCGCTTACTCCATATAAACGATGGTCAAGCCTTAGAAAAGAATGTTATTTGAGTTCCACCTTTTTTGGCAATATTCAAGTGATTTCGGTTTCAGAAATACATAATTTTGCTAAATATCATCTTTATTGTAAGTAAATATATGCAACATGTATATCATTGGTGATTTAAATTCGTATCTTACCAGAGCCACTGATGGTGACTGAAACGCGGAAGTTTCTGTTGGAGATTTCAACAACTGAAACAAGTAAGAATTTTATGCCTGGGGGCTCTGTCTAGAAATGGCATCGTAAACCATTTCATGTAAAATGTGTGTATAAGTATCACAAATAAATTTACTATTTAAAATACGTGTTTTAAGAGAATTCGAATTCTTAAAATACGGATATTAATATTTGCCTCAGTGGATTATCAAACAATTAACAAAGACATGCACAATTCGCTCATATAAACGAATGTCCAGCTTTCAAGCTGAAGGAAAGAATGTTGCTTTAATGTCCACCTTAATTTTATTTTTATTTTTTAATTTTTCAATTATATTTAAATGATTTCGGTTTCTTAAATATCATCTGAATATTGCTAAATATCATCTTTATTATAATTATAAGTACATATTTGCATCACTGTATATCACTGCTGATTTCAATTCGTATTTTACAAGAGCCACTGACGTTGACTGCACCGCAGGGGTTTCTGCAGAAGATTTCAATTTCAACAACTGAGACAAGTAAGAGTTTTATGCATAAAGGTTCTGTCTAGAAATGGCATCTTAAAACGATTTCATGTAAAATGTATGCACAAAATAATAAATGAAATAAAGAATCTGAATGTCTCTCAAAATATGAGGAAGATAAATGTAGCAACTCAAATTGTGTGATGTATTTATTTCGGCACCACAAATACTCCTCAGAAATGCTTCGTGTTATTTTAAAGCTTTGAATTTCAGAAATCTAAAATAACAAAATCACATTGTACACTAGAATTCCCAAAATTGTACGGACGTACTATTATTTGGGATTGATGGGCGTTCTTCGATCTCGATCTTTATATGACATTTTTCCAAACAAAACTGTGAATATTTCCATTTAAACAGAGGTTTTATGTGGTTTCTTATTATTCTTCGCTATACTATTGACTGAATTAAAAACTCTGAAGTCATTGGATGTTGAGTTGGATAAGCATGCTGTTTTGGCTCTATATTTGTTGCTTTTGAATGTTATTAAAATGCCATTAGCTAGTTATATAGTTTATTCAAATAATTTTCAGTAAGATTTCTTTGTAAAGAGTGTAAAAATTTAAAAAACATTGCACATTTGTGAATATAGGCGAGTCATATCTGACCTTTCTTGGTATATTCTACTGAGTATGTCTGTTTCTGATCAATTTAAGCCGAGGGACAGTTTGATGAAATTTTTGAAATGTACCCGACTGAACACAGAAAGATGTATTTAGTGGACGCTGGCCTGGCATTCAACTCTCCATATCCCCTTATACTGCGACCAGAGCGACAAGTTGATATTATCCTGTCATTTGAATTCAGCAGTAGAAAAAGTGACAAAGCAAATCCTCTATCGGTACAATTACTTTTGTTACAATTTATTTATATATGAAATCTTGTTATCACAAATTGCTTACATATTCTTTAGGCTTATCAAGCGATAAATATACATATGTATGAATTTATTTCAAACTGTCAATTAAAGTTGGTGTAATATATAACTAGTCTAAAATTTACAACAAAAAACAGTTTTGAAAATACTTAAATTTAGCGTGTTGTTTCCTATGTAATAAACTTACAATTATCACATTCAAAAAGCTATGAATAGGTAATTATATTTTGTTTCAGAGTTGCACTAAAAAAAACTCAAAACATAAAATATAAAAAATCTTGCATAGACTAATTGGTACATTAAAAATGGAAAAATCTGCAAAAGATAATGAACATTATACTAAAAGAGTTAGTTGAAACCCAATTTTTGCACAATTATTAGCCCGGTTTGAGTGAAAAGCGTGGCAATCCTTAAACGTTTTTGTCATTTTGCGTTATCAAAATTATTTTTATGAAAACGTCGGGAAAAAAGATCTGAATTTTTACACACAAGTTACGAGTTCGGACCTACATCAAATGACACACAACACTCGAAAAATATTTTATGTTTCTTCATGTCAAAAACGTTTATGAAGTCATTTTTAAAGAAACGATATACAAGATATACAAAGGTATGAAATATTGAAATGAAGAACGTAAGCCTTCAGCAACTTGTCATATTAAACTTACTAAAAACATAATGTTTTTATGTTGCTTTATTTTGCATTATAATCAGCAATCATTTACGTTTTACACTTTAAAAAATCTCGTTTTGTATATTTGGTCTGTTGTTCTTGACTTTGTTTATTGTTTAATACTGCGCCTGACTGTTTTATTATAGGAACTTGTTCTAGCCGCTGAGTGGGCAAAACTGAATAGATTTCCTTTCCCTGAGATTGACCCAACGGTGATAGATCGGGAAGGATTCAAGGAATGTTATTTGTTTGAAAACCCTGAAGACCCTAATTTCCCGATCGTCATGCATTTCATTCTCTACAACAATCAATTCAGAAAGTTTAAATCTCCAGGTAAGTAAATCATGTTATAATCATTTACTGTGTAACAATGGATTAGTATTTCATGGCTAACAGATGTGTAATTACATACTGTAAAATCAATTTTCATGACCGCAAGAAATATAATTTCTTAGTGTAATATTCTATTGAAATATTACTACATACTTTATGAGTAAATGTTATACACATACTGAGAAATAATATATCGCTTGTATATCTTTGTGTCCCTGGTAACTTTTTCCTCGGCAGGTAAAGCTTAAAGTTATCATGCATGGTCAATATCGCTATGACATCCAAATAACTAGTTAAAATAAATAGGTTTTAAGACCGACTCTGGGCATATAACATTTCATTCATCGCCAGATTGAAAAGTTAATGAAACATAACCACTCTTCTTCAGGTGTTCCTAGGGTGACACCGGAAGACTTTGAATACGGCAACTTTGATGTGTTTGACGATTCGGATAAACCGTATGCAACCAGCAAATTTCAGTACTCAAACAAAGCTTTCAACCGTCTTGCAGATCTGATGGAATTCAACACACTGTTTTGCAAAGATTTGATAATTGAGAATATCAGAAAATGTGTGAAGAGAAAAAATCAGATATAAGTAGAAGAAGATGTCAACCGTAGATAGCTAAATATTAATTGATTGACAATACTTTGAAAACTAAATTTGAAAATATAACATGTACTTACTGATTTTATTTTATTGGTTGTAAGATCATAACAAAATGTGAATCATTATAAACAGCGAAATAATCCGTGAACTGCTCCAAACTAGTTACTAGAATTTCAAATTGGTGATTTATAAGCTGTATGAAAGACGAAATGCCTTTACAAGAGCTTATGATTATTAATACTGTAAGAATGGTGCTTATATTGTATTGTAACTATATCATATAGCAGTATCAAATTATTTAGAACGTGCATTGATAACAGAATCGTGAATTGATAGCTAGGTTGACTACATATTGGTGGTGGTTACAAATGTAATATTTTCTTAATTTCTTTACTTCTTTTAACAATAATCTTTATACCCTTTATCATGTGTTATGTTATAGCATTTCTATGTTTTGTAAAAGTTGACTGCTCCTGTAATAAAGTTTCAAATATTCATGTATTTTGAATGATAAGTATTATATAACTTAAAACACCGAGCTATCAGAAGTACATCAAAGAAAGATATCGTTTCTAATTTTAACAATACATAAAAAGACGAAGACAACTTAAACTAACCTGCATATTATATCACAAATCTATATTGCATTATATGAAATGTGTGTATATGATTTCCATATAACAAAAATACCTTCAAAGATTATTTGCATTACATAATATTACTGTCATTTCTTCATACCCGTTTGATTTGATTTTGTCTACTGACTTTGTTCACATCTTATTACATTATTCTTGTATATTGTAATCTGTGTCATTCTAAATAAAGTATATGTTCTGTTCTGTTCTGTTCAGATTATATACACGAAAACTCAAGTAAAATCTGCGTTTGTTTGTTTAGATTTTACGCGGATCTTAACACATACAGTCATGTGCTGCCGGTTCAACCAAACGGCTTTCAGGTAATGACAAACAGACATAAGCGAAATCTAAGACTCAATAGAAATGTCATTTTTAAAAACATCAGAGGAAAATGGACGTATGATTTGAAGACTCAAGAAATATATTCATCTTTACAAGTTAAATAAAAACAGGAAAGCTTTTTCATATGCACAAGCAAAACTCATAAATCTTGTGAAATCCTTAAGGTGTGACGACCCCGAGATAAGAAAATCAAAAATAATATTGTGAGTTTACGTGACCCAATTTGACTGATTGGTTGAGTTTTCTTTCTTACAGTCATGATTATCTTAATTATTCAATTTTTACAATGCATCATTTTATTCAATTTCACCCATGAACTATGTTGCTATATCAGTCAAATATAGTTATACCCCCGAAACGAAGTTTGTGGGGGTATACAGGAGTCACCCAGTGATCGGTTGGTTGGTTGGTTGTTCGGTCGGTCACTCCAGCGGTCCGCTTTAATGTTAAAAGACCAATTTCTCTTTGAAATATTAACACATTTTGTATACACACAAGTTGTAAAGATATTTCGGCGTGGCTGGTGTAAGTTACAATACAACATATGCTCAAATAAAATATATAGACAAGCCTTCGGAAACCAGCATAAACAAACGATTTCTTATGAACGGCATTGATTAAGTGGAAATAATAGAATTGGAAATAGAGAGCAAATCAGGCTACTTATTAGTATTTATAAAGATGCATGTAATCGCAAAATTATAAAAAAAATTAGGCTCAAATTTACCCTCCTGTGTTGGCCACTATCATTTCTGGGTGGCATTATCTGGATACTCGGTATGGTAGATGATTTATCTCCACTGTACAGCGGACATCTTCTTCTATTGTTGCTTTTTCTACAACTTCACTTGACATTGTAGCCAGCAAGTCCACAAGATAGATTAAGCCACGTCTTTAATATCAAATATCGTTATTGTGTAGATATGAGGAGTGTGTGAATTTGTACTTGGAAACAAATTTGCAACACAAATAATAAAATACATAAAATATGATAAACAAGATCAACAAGGAAATGCAGCGCTCAATGAACAAATAAACCATCCTTCGGGTCTTGTTTAGTTTGTGTACTAGTAAAAGAAAAAAAATTGGAAAAAAACAAAGTCATCCCTCGGAAGCATTTATCACAACATAATTACATGAAAATTTCGAACTCGGTTTGATTGAGTCTTTAAATGAGGGATATTGAATAGGTCCAACATTCCTCACGCCTCCTAGCACCGGCTTGAAATGTACTGTATTCTCAACACTTAATAGTGCTGGCATCAATGCTTCCGAAGGACTAGAAAAATATAACAACACTGAAGTGAAGTACGGGGCAACTTTTTAGCGCTGCCACATAGCACTTGACACCTGCGAAGCCAGCCAAATATAATATATAAATTTTACAGTTTTACAATTTGACCTTAGAATTTACATGTATCATGAATACGTGTTTTCTCTATTAGAATGTCTTTGAAATGCCAATCAGATAAACATTGATGGTCTTACCTTCCAATTGGATTGTATTCGGCTCGTTGAAATATACTGCTAACATGTGCGAGTGGTGTTTATCCAGAGGGAAGCAACGTTTAAATGAACAATTTATTGAATAAACGCTCAGCTTATGGGAAACATATAGTATATAATTTTTCAAGGCTAAACGTTTGAATCAGATAAGTCGTTCAATAGTGTTACATGTATATATGTACTCTCAAATCCTATTATTTATTATTCTAAGCGTACAACTATAACTTGATGCTGTGAAATTATCAACAGTCAATAAAAAAGAACAGAGCGAGCAACTTCTTACCTTTTTAAAATTTTAAAGTTTACTTTGTTAATATCTAATGTACATTACAAATGCCCCTATTATAAAGTATGATCATTAATATCAATAATAAGACCATGCAATAAAATAATGATACAAATTGCAAAAGGTATTCTTTTCAAACTGTATCGTAAAGCATTATACTATGTGGACCTGTGACGAAGTTTGAAAAGCACTCTCATTTATGCCAGGTTTGGTAATACAGTTGTTATTTCCAATTTGAATTGCTATTAAAAAACTTAAGAGATTTAAGAGATTTTATGTTGAGTCTTTCTGAAGATACACAACAAGATGTAACAGTAGCATTTAATAACACTTCCCGATATCTTGATTATATTTTTTATTTAGACAATTCTTATTTTGATCAGATGGTGTCTTATATCTATCCAAATGAACTTCAATTGAATAAAGAGAATTCTTGAAATTTTAGTGCATCATTTTTTAATCTTCATATTACTGTAAAAAACAATACAAATCACATAAGAATCTATGATAAGAGAGACAACTTTGATTTTGATATAGTTAATTATCCAAATTTTGATGGAAACGTATCCAATCTCATTCTTTGCAGTCTAGGTGGCGCGGCTGACAACGGCCTTTTGATAATTACAGCGATTGGTTTGTGATCTGAATGCACAAACACATGTCTCCTGTATGTTTATGAATGAAAACGAGTACAGCAATACAATATGGTTACTAACTCTTTCTCTATTTGAGCATAACCTTTTTCAGTTTCGGTTAAACTTTTAAACGCGTATGGAATTGGTCTGCCATTTGGTATGAGACATTCCGTCCTTCGATCTATCACATTCTAAATTTGAGTGGTGCTTTCGGGTCATTATAACCTATCCCGGTGCTTCAGAAATCATGTGTCTGACCTTTTGAAAGGCTCTGTCGTGTTTCTCTGCCCAGCAGCATTCGACAGTTTTTCTCAAAAGGCTCCTTAGGAGAGCTGTCGCATTTGCGAGAGCTGGCGCAAATTTTGCAAGGTAATTAACCACATATAAAAATGCTTCTTACTTTGGCCTCGTATTTGGAGGACCTATACCACTTATAGCTTTGACATTGGACTGGTCTGGTTTAAGACCATCCTTGCTTCTTACATGACGGAAGTCTAAGCCATCTTTATCCTCCGAATGGCGTGTTAAACATAGCATTTACGAACGTTTGTCAACCTGTAAGCTCCAATATGCATGCGTTCTGCAAAGGAACGACAAAAGGAATTAACCCAATCAGTAGGCTCATTGACCTTTGTGATTATCTTGTCTTTAATCATTCTGTCAAGATCTGATTTTATACGTGCTCTTAAGGCATCGGGTATTCTACGTGGTGGGTTATTAGTCGGTACAGCATTTTCCTTTAAATGCAACTGCACTGACCATCAATACTTCCAGTATCAGAAAATAAATCACTGTATTCATTAATGACTGTTTCTCTGGTCAGAAAAATTTTATTCTTATTATAAGGGAGTGAATGTTCCACAGAACATGTGAGTTTAATTAGGCCAAGATTTAATGACGATAGTATGTCTAAGAAAGGGGATGCATGTCTATCTAACACATAAAACTTTGCAATCATTGACTTATTTTCTACATAACAGATCA